CCCCCCCCTCTCCCTCTCTCTCTCTCCCTGCACACACGCACACAAACACAAACATAGCCGACTCTCACCGGATCGCTGATTGTGGCTCTGCTGACATTGGCCCGGCGCACGACGCATGGGCACCAAAACATCCGAGTGGTGCGCTTCCAGCGCCTGGTGGTGTCGGTGACCACGGATCCCGACTCCGGGCTGGCCTGTGCCCTCTTCGCGGATGACGACGACTTCGATCCTGCGCTGGATGCCGAGCACGACCGGTCGCTCTTGGTGCCGGGCCCGACGACCGGGGGGGATGTCCCCTCGGCCGGGCCGAATCGGCCGTACCCGGCCCCCTCCGGGCTCCAGCCGGAGTCCCAGCTGTCCGAGGATGAGGCCGACATTTATGCCGAGACGGCGGCCGCCAGCAGCCGGTATGCGGCCCGACGCGGGTCGGCCGCCACCGAGGGGTCGGTCGATCCGGGGCCGGTTGCCGGGGCCGGGCCCGGGGCCGGGGCCGGCGCGGCGCCCGAGGCGAATGCCTCGGCGCCTGCCCTTGCCGGTCCGGAAGCGGCCGACCTCCTGGCACCCCTTGCCGGCGGCCCGGGTGCTCATCACCTGGGCCTGCCCTTCCACAGTTATCTGCTGAACTCGGCCACCCCGCTGACTGCGCCCGAACACTTTTCGGCGCTGCCGCCGCGGTGCCATGCGCAGCCATTCAGCCTGCTGGCGCGCTCCTTCCTGGCCAACTTCGTGGCTCGCTTCGCAAAGGGCGGCCCGGATGCCACTGATGGCTTTTCTGCTGTCAACCTGCGTGTGTTCAATGCCTTCGATCAGGACATTCGCGCGTCCATCATGAGTGCCATGTACACGGCGGTCACCGAGCGTGCGTTGTGCTCCTTCCTGCACTGGCCTACCTCCCCGCTCTTCCTCCTGCCATGCCTTCATCCGTGTGGCTTCCTCTCCCTCTGGCCTGACTGATGCCTGTGCTCTGTCGCAAAATGTGCCCCGCTCCCCCTCGTCCATGCCCATCGCGCGCTCTCCAGTCTACGATGCAGCACCTATCCTGGATAATGTGCTCCTCTTCCACCATGGGCGGATTGCACACATCGCCCGGGCCAGCGGGTCCCCCGGGGCCGGGGGCAATTCCAATGCCCCGCCGCTCGATGTCATGGCCATTGAAGCCAACCTGGGCGCCGCGGTTTCGGCGGCGGACGACGTCCGTGCGTGGACCCTCCCCTGTCCGCCCCTTTCGCGCCATTCCATTCGCCCCACCTAACCTGGACTCCTCTCTCTCTCTCCCTCTCTCTCTCTCTCTCTCTCTCTCTCTCTCCTTTTGCGGGAACGCCGTCTGCCTGCCTGGTCCCAGTGAATGCCCTTGGAAATGATTCGACCGATCTCTTGTCATTCAGCCTGAATGGCATCGGCCGGCCTGGGGCCGGCCCCGGGCATGCCGGGCCCTTCGGCTCGCCTGCCGGTGGCCTGCACAGTGGGCCCGGGCCATCTGATCACCATCAGCACCACCAGCACCACTCGACGGCCGCCGATTCGGTCGCCCTTTCGTCGCCTGCTGCCGCGTATTTGGGCGCGGCCGCGGCGGCCAGCCAGCATGCACGCGATCTGCCGGGCACGGCTTCCGGCATCGGGGCCGGGCCGCGCCTGCACTCGGCCTACCTAGGCCAGAGCGGCCCCATGAGTCCGGGCGGCCCGGAGCCGGCCCGACTGGCTGGCTTGCCAACGTCGTCGGGACTTCAGACCGCGACAGTCGCCGCGGCCGCCGCTCGGTCCCACTCCAGCCCGGCTAGCATTGGCGCCGGCGCCGGAAGCAAGCCCCCTGAGCAGCACTCGCAGCAGCAGCAGCAGCAGCAGCAGCAGCAGCAGCAGCAGCAGCAGCAGTATCCCGGAGCACCGGCCTTCGTGGCCGATTGGCGCAGCGGGCAGCCCCCGCGGCCACGGGGAGACGGCGCTGGTGGGCCCGGGGGCTCGGCCATGCCTGCTCCTGGCTCCTCGGGCCCAGCCGGCCTCGGGCACCACCAGCCTTCGCGGCGGTCGCCGCTGGCGCCCGGGGGGTCGCACGGCCCGGCGCCTCCCTCCTCCACATGGAGCACCCTCGAGACCGGGGCCCGGGTGTGGGTGGGCTCGGCCCGGCGGCCTTTCACCCTGGTGGCCCTGCTGCTGCAGTCGCAATCCGGCGAGTCCTTCGATCCGCGGCAGGTCCTGCTGGTCATCCGGGCCACTCTGACCCTGTTGCGGCAACGTACGTGCATCCCCTTCCTCCTCCTCTCTGTCGCGCCTCCCGCCCCCTCTCCCCCCTCTTGCACCTCTTTGCGGGGATCCTGTTTGTTTGCTCGTTTTTCTTAACACCACTCGCTCCATTTCTCTCTCTCTCTCCCTCTTTCTCGTTGCCCCCTTTCTCTCCGCCGTCTCGTGTGGGGGATTGTCGCGGGGTGGCCCCCGGGGGACGGCGGTCTTGTCCACGCACGCACTGCGCACAGTTTCCGGCATCCTTTCCAACATTGGCGATGTGTGAGCACCGTCCGCCCCGGCGCGGCTGGCCGGGGCCAATAAGACGCACATTTTCGAGACGAGCGTGTGACCTACCACGTGATGACCACGAGGTGTCATTCTTTCAGCCATCGCGGCCGCGCTCGCCTGCGCGGCCGGGCGTGTCCCTCGGGAGCGCCGTGTTGCGCCCGGGCGCGGGTCCACCTCGGGGCGTTCTCCCCCCGCCTGTGTGTCGGGCGGATGGACGGGCGCGGGGAGCAGGGGAGGGGAACGACCTTCAGCGCGCCCCGGCCTTGGTGTGAGGCATGACGATGGGCAGATTGGCCGGCCCGGAGGACGGGTGTTTCAGGTGACTCCGTGACTAGGCGCGCTGGGGGTTACGTCCCAGCGGGGGGCGGGGGGGGGGGGCCAGGCGATCGGGATTAGCTAGGGCAGGGGGTAGTGCTGGCGAGGGGGCGGGGGGGGGGGAGGTCTTTTTCACACCTGTCAGATGCACGGCGTGGGGGTGAGGGGGGGGGGGGTCCGGTCGCCGGGAACGAACACCCCCCCCCCCCCCCCGGCCCGCGCGTGGACACGGCTCGGAACGCCGGAAGGGTGCGCCCCGGCGCCCACTCGCCCTCTGTTAAGGAGAGCCAAGCGCCGCAATTAGGTCCGCCGCGTCTGCCTGCGGATGGGCCGGGTGACTGCGCGCTTCGGACCCTGCCCGAGTAGGGGCCGGGGCCGGGCCGGGGCCGGGACACTGCCGGCCTTGCGCCAGGGTCTCCTGGCTTGCCATCAGCCTTAGCTTGCGGGATTTTGTATCGCGGGCCATTGTGCGTCCCCCACGTTCTTCGCCCGGCCGCTCGGCCGCCCTCCAGGGCACAGGCAGTTGCGGCGGGCAGGCAAGACAGGCACACCCCGCATCCTTCGCAGGATCCACGGACGGCTCCACCAGTGTGGAGGTCCATTTTGACATGGCGCCAGCACCGGATGCAGGGGGTCCCCCGGCCCGCGGAGAGGGCGAGGCGCTCCCGATCGATGTGCCCGGCCCCGGCACCGCGGCCCGCAGCAAGGCGGGCGGGCCCGGGCGCAGTGGCCAAAGTGTTCATCGGCGATCTGACCCAATCCCGGGCCCATTGCCTGCGCGCCCCGGCCAGTCCATGCGAGTTGCTCTCGCACCTCCGCCCCCTTCAGCCTTCCTCCCTGCCGCCCTGCCGTCCTGCCGCCCTGCCGCCCTGCCGCCCTGACGCCCCGTCTCCGGCCCCCGCCCCGTCTCCGCCCCAGGTGTATGTGCGTGTGTGTGTGTGTGTTTTGTCCCGGACTTGGAACGGACATCCCACACCATCCCCCCCCCCCCCCCCCCCCCCCCCCCTGCCAAGCGGGCGGCACCTACATCACAGCCTCCTCGACGCCCGTTGGACGCTGCTCGGGGCACTGTCACCCGCGGCCACCCCCTCCCGGCCCGATTGCCCCCGGCCGTCCCCGGGCCTGCTCCCGTAGCGGCCTGCCATATCACCGCCTGAGCCCGGACGATCGCCTGCCAGCTGACACACTCGCCAGCCCCGGTGGGAGGCATACATTCGCCGGCACCGGCGTCGGTCGCACACTTTTCACGCTCCCCTGAGGGCCGACCCACCAAGCCCCTGCCAGCAAGCCTCGATCCCTCACTTCGCGCCCTCCTTCGCCTCGCCCCGCTTCGCCCTGCTCTTTCCTCCGCTCCTCCCCTCGCCCTCCCCTGCTGTGTGACTCCCACGCTGCACGCACCACCTGGAGCACGGCTGAGGCTTCGAAGGTGCGCTCGCCCAAGCCCGTGCTTGCCCATCCGCGCCCCTGCTTGTGCACATGCTCACCGATGCCCTTTCGACCGATCGCCGCCACAGCCGCCGTCGGACGTCGAGACCCCGACCGATCACCCCTCGCCCCTGCCCTTCTCCCCTGGGACGGCAACCGCACCCTCGCACGCCCATCCGCCTGCACTTCCAGCGCCCCTCGCGCCGGCACGGCAGACGCACACACACGCACACACACACGCACGCGCGCGCACGCACGCACACACAGACACGCACGCCATGGCCCTATCAACCAGCGAGAAGCCAGGGCCGCTGCCGCCCACGACGGCCGTGCCGCCGCCCGGCCTGCAGCAGCTCATGGCCCTGGGCCTGACCAAGCTCGGCGAGTACCTCCTGCGCTTTTCGCCCATCCCACTGAGTTTCCTGTGGCTCTCCTTCCGCTACTTCGGCGGCGGGGTGCGTGAAATGCCCACCATCACCGGCCTCGGCCCCGGCGGCCCCGGCATTGACCCGACCACCGCCCGCCCTGTCGCTTACATCTCCCTCTCCCGCCCCCCCCCCCTCCCGGTGGCGGCCGAATCCACGTGCAGCTGGCTGGCTTCCCCTTCATCATGTCCACACTGCTGGTTTTGGTGGACATCTGGTGCTGCCTCGAAATCGGCCACTATCTCAACTGCCGGCTGATTTTGATCGAGTACAACTGGCGCGTGACGCCAGGCGCGCGCACCGACGCCGAGCGCATCGAAACCTTCAATCGGGTGTATGCCCTTTCCGGGAACAGCCGGCCCGAAAAGGCGCGGGAGTTTTTGACCGACTGGTTCTTCGGTGCCCCGTTCGAGACCATTGGACGGGACAATCTCGGCGACTGGATGGCCTGGGCCTTTTGGGGATCAGAGATGTCGGAGCTTTCGCCGGTGGGCCTGGTGCGTGTCCAGGCGCCCCTTTCCTGCTTCGCCCCCCCCCCCCCCCCCCCCCCCTGCGTGGGGCAACATGCGCATGCCCGGGAGGCCGACCAAGCCTGGCAGGTGTGCCTGCATGGCCGGCCGCCGGATCACTGACTCCCAGCCCCTGCCCTCGCCGCCGAACACACAGGCTCAAGTCGACACCTGGATCAAGCGAATTGAAACCCAAACACGTTGGACCTTCCCGCCAGGACGGACCCCCGGGGTGCGGACCCTTCGTCTGTCCTTGGACCCGGTGGTCGTGCATCACCGGCCACTGGTGTGGTATGCGGTGGTCAGCCTCGTGCGGATGCTCTGCTCGCATGTGCTGCGTCGGGCCGGGCTCGAGTCCAAGCGCTGTGGCTGTGTGTACTATTGGATCTACAAGCCGGCTGGCGCGTTGGCCGGTGCCCCGGCCGGTGCCCCGGCCGAGCCGGCCCCCTCGACGCCGATTGTCTTTGTCCACGGCATCGGCCTGGGCCTGGTGCCATACTTCCTGGTTGTGTGGCGCCTGCTCGGCCTGGCCAAGACCCAGCGCCGGGGCTTCGTGGCGCTGGAGCTGCCGCAAATCTCCCAGCGCCTCTTCTGGGACGCCAACCCCACCGCTCGCGAGGTGGTCCGGGACCTGGACACCCTGCTGGAGTCGGAGTTCGACGCGCCGACCGCCGATGCCGATGCCGATGCCGACAGCCCGACCGACGCCACGACCACTGCCGTGGCGCCCGGCACATCGGCACCCGCACAGCGGGCCGTCACAGCCGCCCGTGGGGCCGGCGGGGCCTCGTCGACCCGGCGTCGGACTCGCGCCCTCTTCATCGGCCACAGTATTGGAAGTCGTGCGTTGATGCCGGCCTGTTGGGCCGTTCAAGCGCTGTTGCCCTTGGGGCCTGCCGGCCCTCTGCTCGGCTTGCCTGCTTTCTTTCCCCCCCCCCCCCCTCCGCCTCCGGTGTCCGGTTGCCTGGGCCTTGGCCGTGAAACTGACCGTGCCCCCGCCACCGGGCTGTGACGCCATATAGTCACTTGCTCTTGGATGACGCGACTGCACCCGGAGCGCGTGGCCGGGCTGATGCTCCTGGACCCGGTGTGCTTCCTCCTTTGCTTGTCGGATGTGGCGCACAATTTCCTGCACCGTGTGCCGGTTGACTGGCAGCAGGCCATCATGCGGTATGGCGCGGCGCGCGAGCTCCATATCGCCTACTCGCTTGGCCGGCACTTCGATTGGATTTCCAGCTCGCTGTGGCTGGAGGACTTGTCCACGCGCAGTCTCCACGCCAAGGATGTCGCCACCGGCGAGCGTCATGAGCACCTTGACACGGTGGTCCTCCTGTCGGGCCTGGACAGGTGCGTGCATTTGGCCGCTCTCTGACCGGCGGCCTGTCCTGGCTCTCGCCATCCATTGTTATGCAGCCCCCGGGAGGGCGGCCAAGGCGGCATGTGCATGGTCCTGACACGCTCCTGCTGCGCTTTCCCTCCTCCCCCCCCCCTGCACGGGGGACAATGACGACGTGTGCGTGCGTGTGTGTGTGTGTGTGTGCGTGCGTGGCCATGTCTGCACATGGACGTGCCCTCGTGTGCCCCTCTGCTCCTGGTCGCCCCCTCGGGGCTGTGCTTGTATCCAGCATTGTTCCCTCGAGCAAGGTCCGCGAGTACATCGAGGCGCAGCCGAACCTGAAGCTCATCTGGAAGCCGGAGCTCCGCCATGCGGAGATGCTCGTCAGGTACGCTATGTGGCCCTCCATCGCAGGCTGGGGCACTGACGATCGGCAGGCATCCAATCACTCGTGTGCCTTCCCACTGACCTGGTGTATGCTGGCGCATGCCTGCGTGCCATGTGTGCCCCTCGCTCCTCGCTCCTCTTCCTGCTCCGCCCCCCTCCCCCATGCACACACACACACACACACACACACACACAAACGCATGAAGACCCTCCGAGGTGACGGAGTTCTGCGAGCAGGTGTCCCAGCAGCTGGAGCGGCTTAAGACCCTTGAGTTTGACGTGTGCTAGACTAGACGCGCGCGCATCTCGCGGACAGCGCCGCGCGCGCCTCCCTTGCCCCCATGTGCACCGGGGGCCGTCCCGACAGCAGCCGGCGCCGGAATGAATGCGGGCGTCAGGTCGTCGTCCTATACCTGTGCATTCCCGGTGGCCGGGAAAATGGAGAGCCGGGTGTCTCTTTTTCCTTTTCTCTCCTCCCTGTGGCGGGATCCATGGGGTGCCTCGCTCTTTGGGGGAGCTCGCCCTCCCATGTACGTGTGTTTGCGGCGCGCCCTCGCGGTCGGCCGGCGGTGCTCAGGGGGACCCCTGTCGCAGCGCCTCCAGTTCTTTCCTCTTCACATCCTCAATATACAAACTGCCTGCCCCGGCTTTCTTTTTGTGGCCGACCCGTGCACGCGGGGCCGCATGTCCGCGGCCCCCGGCCCGTGGGATGCTCTGCTGCCCCATCGGGGCCCCTGTGTGGCAGAGCTGCTCTTGGCGTGGGTCCTCAGCCCGGAAGACCGGTCCTCTTTCTCGGTCCTGGGGGTTTTCTTCTCCGCGGGGAGCCGGCCGGAACGAGCGGAGGCAGGGGTGGACCCCCCGGGCAGCTGGGGCTCCTGCCACCTGCAGGGCCGCCACCCTTTGTCCACGCCCCGCGCGCCGCCTCCTGACTCTCGGGGTGCTGGGGGGGGGGGGGGGGTCGAACTTCCTGCGGCCTATGCCCGAGTTGCCTCCCCCCTCCAGCTGAGCCTGACCATCGGTGCCGCCATCTACCAATCGCAAAGGGCGATTGTCGCGACGGCCCGCCCTACGGGTTGGTCAGTCGCCCACAAGAACCCGCTCTCTCTCTCGCGCGCCCGCGCGCCCGCGCGTGCCCGCGCGTGCCCTACCAGCATACCCCCCCCCTCTGTCAATGACGGAAGAGGCGAATAGACTCGGGCGCCCGGGTCGATGCGGAGCTAATGAAAAGCGCACCGAGTTAAAGAAGCCCCCAGCTGAAGGAGAAGAAGCACACAAGGGCGACACGCAATTCTCGGGCTCACAAGAAGGGGTGGCTTTCCCCTGGCGGACCTGGCGAAAGTGAAGCGCGAAGGCAGGGCCACACGGCCGCGATGCTGCCGATGCGGCCTCGCCGCACCTCCAGGCCTGCCCGTTATTCGCACGCACCCGGGGAGACGCATGTGCGTGCATGCGCGCGGGCATTCGCGCCGCACCGAGAAACCAGCCGATCCCGGACGCGCCTCACGGCTCCAGGGGGGGGGGCCGTTGTGGGGTATGTGCAGCGGACCTGGGACAACCATTTTCGGGATCGCCAAAATGAGGCACGGCCCATTTCCCGATCGTGTTCCCATTTTCTCCCTCTCCCTGCCCCCGGCCCGGCCCGGCCCGGCCCGGCCCCCTTCCTCGCTCTTAAGAGGCCTCCATAACCGGCGATCCGGTGCCCTCGCTCGAACCAGAAGCCGGTCCCTGTGCAGGGCCCTCCGGGCCTGGTGGCCCCTCTGGGAGAATACCACCCGGGGCCCCAGTCCAAGCGGCCGGCGGCCCGCTTCGTGTTGCTGGCGTTTTGGCCGGGCGGCCCGGTCCTTCGATCTTGCCCGGCGAATCGCGGCCGTCCATGGCCGGCATCGGGGGACCATGCAAATGTCCAATCGCGCACCGGGATCGCCGAGAAGCGGGCAGCGGCAATCCCTTGCGCCTCCCTTTGCCGCGACCGCCGCCGTTGGGCCGGCTCTGCACCTCTTCCTTGGGCGGGAGCTGGTGACACAGCCTGCCCTGCCATCTGCCCTGCCTCGAGCGAAGCGTTTGTCTGGACATTCGCCCGGACTTCGCACAAAACTTTTCCCCCCCAGGCGGCTGCTTTCGTCCTGCCCAGGTGCCCGGCGGATCTTCATCCCTGCAGCCCTTTCCTTCGCACGACATTGCCTGCCACGGGGATGGGCCATCCCGCACCAGGACCATCATCCCCGAGATCGGGAAGGAATGCCGGCACCTGCCGGAGCGGAAGCCCTCTGTTGGGCATGATCGATGGCTGGGCTCGCCGGGAATCCCCGGCAGAGGCGCTTATATCTGCCACTGGCCTGGTGGTGTGGGAGAGTGGCGGCTCTCCAGAAGTCCTCCCGCCTTTCCCTCACCTTCTCCGGAGTCGGCCCCCTTCCGTTGCAGCCCCCCTTCTCGCCTTCCTAGCTCGTGTCGCTTTATTGTCTGCGCCCCTGCCCTTCGCCTGGACGCCATGGAGCTCGACCCTCTTGTGCATCGGCTGCTCAGCGCCAACATCACCGGGACCTTTGCGGTGCTCCAGCAGTTGGATGCACTGTTGGAGAAGCACCCCCCCTGTTCGCGTGCGTATTTCCCGCCCCCCTGCCCGTGGTGGCCCTCCCAAGCACGCGTGTGCACGCAGAATGGCGCACCACGCGCGCGCGCGTCCTGGTGCTCGATGGTGATGGGGAGCTGCAGATGGCAGAGCGAGACACACACACACACCCACACGCACAGAGAGAGGAAGAGAGACACAGAGAGAGAGAGAGAGATGCACATGCGGGCAGGCCGATGGCCCGACAAATGTGCACATTCCGGGGACAATGTGCCTGCCGGACTCTAACGCATGACCGCATCAACCGCACGCCACTTCGGGGCATCCTCCACAGACAACGCCACCAATCCCCAGGTGGTCGAGCAGGTGGACGCCCCAGGGACCCGGCCCACCCGGGTGCCGCCCCACCGGCGCGAACCGCGCGCCACCCTTGACCCCCAGTTAAATACCTTCTGTGGGCGTGCCTACATGGAAAGCTTCGAGATGGTGAAGGTGCTGACCCTGCGCGGGGCCGCCTGCAGCCGGGACATTTTGCCCTTCCTGGCGGACCTTGCCATTTGCGGAACACTCAATGGCATGGTGACCGGCGGCATGCCGGTGGCTCGCCACCAGAGCTTCGGCCACTGTGCCAAGTACCTGGAGGATTACCAAAAGCATTGCATCAAGGTGGCCCCGCATTCGCATGTGGCCACGACCAATTTGGAGGACGAGGAGCTCTACTGCCCGGTGAATTACCTCTTCCCGGAAAAGCACACCGAGATGCACCCGCCCGAGGGATGCGACGATCAGAACCTCCTCCGGCACTACAACCTGGTGCGCAGCCAGTGCGAGTTCCAGGACAATGACTTTGATTTCCACCTGGCCTCGCCGGTGTTTTGCAACTCGCGCGTGTGCTCCTCCTCCATCAAGAAGATCATGCAGTGCCAGAGCGCCCGGAGCAACAGCTATGCCGAGATTTGCAAGCTGCTGGACCTCTTCCCGACGCCGGATCTCATCTGCCCTCGGGCCACCGTGGGGAATGCCATCTTTCGTGGGGCCCGCTGCTCGCAGATCTGGCGCAATGAGTCGCTCACGTTGAATCGCTTTACGTACAGCTACCACGACTCGCTGTTCCCGAACAGCGGGCCTGCCTCCATGCGGTCGGTGCTTGCCCTTCGGCTGATGGCGCTCTCTGTGGTGATGATGCTGCTTCTGTGATGGCATTTCCATCGGGGAGGGCACACGCCCAGGGCCGAGAGCGAGCGAGCGAGCGAGCGAGCGAGCGAGAGAGAGAGAGAGAGAGAGAGAGAGACGAACGGCTATTCCGGCCGGTGGGGGAAGGGAGCAGCAGGCAGCGGCCAGCACCTTGCGCGCCAGGTTCGGAGTGCCCACGCCGGAGGGGCAAAAGAAAGCACGGAGCACAGGAAGCACCAAGAAGGGAAAAGACCGAGCGAAGGAAGCCGCGAGGGGGGACAATGCCATTATTTTCTCGCCCCTCCCCTGCCTCCGCGCGCCCATTCCCCCCCCCCCCCCCCCCCCCCCCCGCCCCCTCCCCCCCCCCCCCCCCCCGCCGCCCGGCCTCCGCCTTGATGCTCGCTGGGCGGGGGGGGGGGACCATAAGGCATCTCCGCGCGCCCCCTGTGCTCGCGGGTGTGAGAGAGCGCCCGTGCGCAGACTCACCAGACCATGCATTTTTGAAGGCACGCCCCCGGCGCGCACCGCGCGGATTGGTGACGACAATACACGGGTGAATAAATGTCCGGAGAAGGAAAGCCATGTGTCTCCCTTGGCCTGGACTGGGGGGGAAAGGGCGTCTCGGGAGGAGCAATCTGTGGTGCCTGCCCGGGTGCATGGTTTGAAGAGGGGCGGCGGGGGAAAAAAAAAACAACAACACCATGCTCAGCACGACCAGCCACAACAATGGGCACAGGCCCGAGAGCTCCCGCAGGCGAGCAGTCGAGGCACCACCGCCAGACACAGGTCGGTGGTATCGAGGAGAGGGGCCAGGTGGAGGGAATTCCACAGGTGCGCACCCAGCGCGTCCGGGGGGCGGGGGGAATCACCGGCTCGCCGGAGGACACGATCGACAACCGGCGGCCCAAACTCCGTGGAAAACCGCATGTACATATTCCAGCGGGTTGGTTGTATCAACCATAACCATCCCATATGGTCTAGGTGGTTAGGATACGTGGCTTTCACCCACGCGCCCCGGGTTCGAGTCCCGGTATGGGAGTTTCTTTTTTTTCATCCCGGCCCCGAGGCTATTTCTGAGGGCGCGTCTTTTTGCCCGCGCATCGGGGGGAAATGTCCCAGGCATACTAGGCCGCGTGGGCGGCGGCCGGCCCACAGGCAGGTGACACACACTCAAAATGCGTGGCCCGGCTTGGCCTCCCGCCCTCGCCTTTTTTTCCTCGCCCACTCTCTGCGCTTCTCCATCGCGTGCGTCCCTTCCCCCCCCCCCCCCCCCCCCCCCCCCATGCTCGCCTGTTTGCCCTGCTGCTGCGTCATACCAATGAAGAATTTTTTCAAGTTATCCCTGTCTGAAACAAAAAACCATGACTGAGAACTTTGAAGTTGAGGATATCCCACATCACATCTCGCTGCCTCCTCCTCCTCCTCCTCCCCCTGCCTCCTCATCTAACTCTTCGCCCCTTTCCCTCCTGCCTTTGCTCCACCCCCCAGATTCGTGAGTGATTTTCGGATCACCCCCACGAGACACACGAAGAGTGCGAGCCACTCTTTTCTCTCGGGGCACACATGCGATGAGCTTTCCTGTGATTGCTCCCCTTTTTCCTTTAAAAATTGAAGCCCACACAGCAGCCGGCGCAGCCCCCTCCTACACGATGTACAGTGCCATGCGGAAGGCTGAGCAAGAACAAGCGCTTTTTTGAGCGGGGGGGAGGGGAAGGCCGCGCGGCGAGGAAGAGGAGGAAGAGGGCCGGGGGGAGTGCAGGGGGGGGG